ATACAAATTCCCTAGGTTCAGAAAGCCTGTTATGGTCTATTAGCTTCCCGGCATTTGATCTATGCACTGCTCTACTTTATTAGGAATTAATGGCTACATATATCCAATGATGTTTGTGTCAAAAGAAAAAAAATCGCCATTTCTAGTGAAAAAACTGTCATCGAATGTTCAATATGACCAGAGGAAGACATAAAGTAACAATGTCATAATAAGCATTATAGCTACTTTTGTTGTCCAAATAAATATATTATTGAAAAAGCCATTGTCTGAAGCACGGTTATATTGAACAAATTCTGCCTATGGCAAAAGGGAATATGGCAACAGATACTTAACAGTACTGAGGATCCTGAAGGACCCTGGCAGAAGAGAAGACAAAACAAAATGTAATGGATCCTATAATAACTAACAAGACCTGAGGCAATGAAGTAAAGCTCAGATGAAGTCAATGGTATCATTAATAGATAGTTGATTCTGCATTTTTTTTTTTTTCAGCTGGATGCATTGGACTTCTGCATTTTTTCAGGCCCACCATATAAAAATAGCTCTTGTAGGCTGAAGAAGTACTTTTATTAGACAACCACATAATGCAATTCTGCTGCCACTATTTCTCTGTCACCAAGAACACTACCTGCTATTACTGTTCATGGATGTTCATTGCATTCTCAGAGTTTTCATTGTTTTCTAGTTTTTACAAATGAATGCGTATGTGAACATAGCAGAGAATACACTGCAGTAGCAGTTATCATTACTGTCAATCATCAAATCACTGCTGGACAGTTGCTGTTGTAAACATTAAAACAAACTGATAGATGTTTTATTTACCATTGAGCACAGAGGTTCAAATGTAAGAATAGAAAGCAATGGCTTCTATAAAACAATTTATTTCAAACAAAGGGTAGTAGCATACAATTGTTTGTTTCTTGCTTCATAGCTAAAACATGATATACAATAAATATGGAAAACATGTTTTATTGGGTGGTTAATGCATCACATAAAAACATAACGTCTCTCACCTTTGTAAGTAATGTACAATCTTTTATTTAGATCTATGTCTTATTTTAGCTATGTGTACAAAATTGATTAAAAGGACTTTATTTTATTGTAATTCATATTCTCTTGAGAATTCTAAGGTCCTAGTGGTGTTAGTGTTGTAATAGTTCCCAATTACCAGGTTTTTAAAACAAGGTTATTGATTCTTAACAGTCTGATTACAAGAGAGGGAACAAAATTAAGAAAAGGACATGTAATTATTGCTATAGTGTTTTACAGCAAAAAGCTCTATATACTAGATATTATATTAAGTAATATATTATTGCTCCATCAATGCATAAAAGCTATATTTTAATTGGTTTAGTGATTGGTCTGTTAGCAAAAAAGCTGGGTAGGATCTGGACACATAAATATTTGGTCACCAATTACTAACCTTAGATATTTAAAATAGAGGTCAAATACTTTTTGTTATATAATTAATCTGTCACCAATCAGTTTGTGTACCTTGGAGGGTCTGGAGTTATGCAGACTGATTTGATATTATTGTGAACCTACTGCAAAAAAAAAGGGTTTGTTAAGTATTTGGTCTATGGGTCTTCCATATACAGAAACATGAGTGGACATTCCCAATGCAGGCTCCAGGAAGAATTACAGGCACATTGTGATACCATGACCATTTTCTACCTGATGAAATCATCTCACTGCTAGCACTGAAAATGTACATTTCTAATTTTATCATCTTCAAAGAGTAACTTTTAACCACTTTCCCTCCAGCAGATTTACCCCCTTTCCTGACCAGGCCATTTTTTGCGTTACGGTACTGCGTTACATTAACTGACAATTGCGCGGTCATGCAACGCTGCACCCAAATTAAATTTACATCCTTTTTTACCCACAAATGGAGCTTTCTTTCGGTGGTATTTTATTGCCTGTGTTTTTTATTTTTTGTGCTATAAACAAAAAAACCCAACAATGTTGAGAAAAAAACAATATGTTTGACATTTTGATATTAAACATGTCCAGTAAAAAAATTTAAAAATCAAATTTCAGCATAAATTTAGGCCAAAATGTATTCTGCTACATGTCTTTGCTAACAAAAATACCAATACGTGTAAATTCATTGGTTTATGTGAAAAAAAAATGGAGGTATATATACTGGAATTTTTTTTTTTACTAGTAATGGTGGCGATCATCAACTTATAGCGGGACTGCAGCGGGCATTCTGACATTCCCAGTGACACCAATAGAGTGATCAGTGCTAATAAAAAGCACTGGCACTGGAGCAAAGGCACTGAGCAGGAAGGGGTTAACATGTGGAGCAATCAAAGGGTTAACTGTTTGCTGTTTCACAGTATGCTGTGTGTGCGCCTTCCACTATAAGCACACTGCTTTGTATAGCTCTGCTATGCTGAGCCATACAAAGCAGTGACAGGGAGAAGAACTGTATAGTTTACATACTGTTCTCTCCCCTATTAGTAATACTTGACGATCACCGGGTGCCAGCGAGTAATCACTTGATATACATGATTTTGCGCACCCCTGTGGCACTGTAGCAGTATTTCTGCTATAGGGTGGAGGGGAAGCAGTAAATTCACAACAAAAGAGCTATGGGATACAGTTAGGGCTCGTTCACACTAGGCTGTTTTGCCAACGCTTGCCAAACACCCCTATAGCGTTTGGCAAGCGTTGGTCCGGCGTTTGCGGAGCGTTTTTTAAACGCTCGGCAAACGCTCCCGCAAACGCCGCATGCGCGGTTTAGCGGCGGTTGCTAGGCGTTTGCCGAGCGTTAATAATGCCCCACAAACGCCTAGAATGCAGTTTGAGTGGTGTTACCGCTCCGCAAACGCCCCGCAACCGCATCGCAACCGCACCGCAAACGCCGGGCGTTTGCGAAGCGGCACCATAGACGAGAATAGGAGGCTTCAAAGCCTCCTGACTCGTCCAGAGGCGTCCGTTTTGCCGCGACGCAACGCGACGCGACGCAAACGCTCCCGTTAGAACAGCACCATGTGCTGTAATGTGCAGAATTGGCAGAGGCGTTTGGGAAGCGGTAAAAACGCTTCCCAAACGCCTCTCTGCCGCCTGCACACAAGGCTAGTGTGAATGTAGCCTAAGGGCTCGTTCACACTATGGTGCAGAAATGTCATTTTTTTCTGCACATGTTCTGCAAGGGCACAATAAAATCAACTGTTCTCTATGTGTCCTGTTCACACCACAATACTAGTATTACGTGCAAATTTTTTTCTTTGTGCAGGAATCTGCAGTGTGTATTAAACTTACTGAAGCACACATGAAAACTGATGTCTCTGCAAGTTAAATCTGCGCATCAATTTCCATCAGTTAATCTGCTTGTATGGCATGCACGAGGCCTTAATATGTATTTGGTTTTCAGGTAAAAAATAGGTACATTTAAGCTGCAGGGGCCTGATTGTGGAGAGTTTAGTCATTTAAACAACTAACTCTTGGTCTTTTGGTTCAACATTCCTTTCTTTGTGTTAAAGAATGGCTCTGATAAGCTGGCTTGGGCTTGAGAAGGACTAACTATTTTGTAAGTATTGATCTATAAACCTGGATCAGCTTATGCCTAGCTAACACAGGGTACTGCTTTGTCATACTTTCTTGACATGCAGCATATGTATATGACTGCCCTCATATATTAGGCCCTTATTACCAGCATAGTAAAAACTAGTAACTATTCTTAAGCTACTTATCAAATCCAAAATGACAAATTAGTATGTTCACAGCCACCTCCAACTGTTTAATCCCCTAGGCAGTAACTCTAATGATCTAAGTATGGAAACTGTGGATGTAAATATCTGGCTTCAACCAACATCAACCTCTTGTAAAACGTTTTCTGTGGATGCCATGGTGGATGAGTGATAGATTGGTTTTTTAAGTAAATTTAGAGAGCAAATAGGGGTAAAAGTATAATTTTCCTGTTTTTATCATCTATAATTATCATAAAACAAAGGAATGAATGATTGGCTACCTAATAAAACTGCAAAGTATTATCTTGTGGTCACTCTGCGATTATGAATACTTATTTTAGGATGCCCATACGTTAAATTAATTACAAAGATTTATAACAAGCCTATTATACACCATAAACATACCAAACCCAGGACCCTGCAATCACTATATCTGGTCTCCCACAGTACAAACTACATGGAAATGCAATTATTGTGGTAAACATAAACTGCTAAATACCTTTCCTCATCAGCAGTATATAGCAATCTTATGACTTCTATCAGTGTTTAGTCGAACACTGGTTCGCGCTTGTAGGAGGAGTTTTCATTCTGCTCTGACTGTCCTATGAGGCTGCATAACACCTGACCCTCTGTCTGGACAGTGCTGATTGGCCATGTGCTGGTCACATACATGCACCCTCTCAAATGGAGAAAAAAAAAACTTTCTAGCAATACACACTAAACTGGGCATGTGCAGAGTGACTCTGTACTATCTGTACTATCAGCAGATGGATTGGGGACTGTGGAAGAAGGGGAGAATCAGAGAATCCAGAATCAAACAGCCTTTTTACACAATGTGGAGGATTAACCCCTAAGTTCCACAGTGAGTATAACAAGCATGCTTTTCTGCATATACAGAATGATTTTACTGTTAAGGGTTTAGTAACACTTTAACTGCTTTACCGCCACCCTTTAGCAGAAATAATGCTACAGGGTGGTAGGGGTGCGCAAAAATCATGTATATATATGTGATTTTTTTATTACCGGGTAGGGAGCGTGCTTGAGCCGCGCGCATGCCCCACCGGCGCCTCCTTTCGTGACTTCGGCTGTCAATCACCGGGTCCCAGCCGGTGACTACTTGCCGGCACCCAGTGATCACCGAGTAATATCGACGGGGGGAGAGAACTGTGTGTAAACAATACAGTTCTCTCCCCTGTCAGCTCCTGCATAGCACAGCCATACCAAAACAGTGTGCTTATAGTGAAAAGCACAGACACAGCCACATAGTAAAACACACATAGCACACAGTTAACACTTTGATCGCCCAGATGTTAACTCCTTCCTGCTCAGTGCCATTAGTACAGTGTCAGTACTTTTTATTAGCACTGATCACTGTATTGGTTTCACTGGGGAAGTCAGTGACACCAAGTCAGTTCCCCCCAGTGTCAGAATGCCCACCGCAGTCCCACTATAAGTCGCTGATCACAGCCATTACTAGTAAAAGAAAAATTCCAGTATATACAGTCAATATCCCAATACATGTAAATTCATTGGTTTATGAGAAAGTTATAGTGTTTACAAACGGCGGTATACAGTCAGATCCATAAATATTGGGACATGGACACAATTCTAACATTTTTGGCTCTATACATCACCACAATGGATTTGAAATGAAATAAACAAGATGTGCTTTAACTGCAGACTGTCAGCTTTAATTTGAGGGTATTTACATCCAAATCAGGTGAACGGTGTAGGAATTACAACAGTTTGCATATGTGCCTTCCACTTGTTAGGGGACCAAAAGTAATGGGACAGAATAATAATCATAAATCAAACTTTCACTTTTTAATACTTGGTTACAAATCCTTTGCAGTCAATTACAGCCTGAAGTGTGGAACGCATAGACATCACCAAACGCTGGGTTTCATCCCTGGTGATGCTCTGCCAGGCCTCTACTGCAACTGTCTTCATTTCCTGCTTGTTCTTGGGGCATTTTCCCTTCAGTTTTGTCTTCAGCAAGTGAAATGCATGCTCAATCGGATTCAGGTCAGGTGATAGACTTGGCCATTGCATAACATTCCACTTCTTTCCCTTAAAACACTCTTTGGTTGCTTTTGCAGTCTGCTTTGGGTCATTGTCCATCTGCACTGTGAAGCGGCGTCCAATGAGTTCTGAAGCATTTGGCTGAATATGAGCAGATAATATTGCCCGAAACACTTCACAATTCATCCGGCTGCTTCTGTCAGCAGTCACATCATCAATAAATACAAGAGAAGCAGTTCCATTGGCAGCCATACATACCCACGCCATGACACTACCACCACCATGCTTCACTGATGAGGTGGTATGCTTAGGATCATGAGCAGTTCCTTTCCTTCTCCATACTCTTCTCTTCCCATCACTCTGGTACAAGTTGATCTTGGTCTCATCTGTCCATAGGATGTTGTTCCAGAACTGTGAAGGCTTTTTTAGATGTCGTTTGGCAAACTCTAATCTGGCCTTCCTGTTTTTGAGGCTCACCAATGGTTTACATCTTGTGGTGAACCCTCTGTATTCACTCTGGTGAAGTCTTCTCTTGATTGTTGACTTTGACACACATACACCTACCTCCTGGAGAGTGTTCTTGATCTGGCCAACTATTGTGAAGGGTGTTTTCTTCACCAGGGAAAGAATTCTTCGGTCATCCACCACAGTTGTTTTCCATGGTCTTCTGGGACTTTTGGTGTTGCTGAGCTCACCGGTGCGATCCTTCTTTTTTAAGAATGTTCCAAACAGTTGTTTTGGCCACGCCTAATGTTTTTGCTATCTCTCTGATGGGTTTGTTTTGTTTATTCAGCCTAATGATGGCTTGCTTCACTGATAGTGACAGCTCTTTGGATCTCATCTTGAGAGTTGACAGCAACAGATTCCAAATGCAAATAGCACACTTGAAATGAACTCTGGACCTTTTATCTGCTCATTGTAATTGGGATAATGAGGGAATAACACACACCTGGCCATGGAACAGCTGAGAAGCTAATTGTCCCATTACTTTTGGTCTCTTAACAAGTGGGAGGCACATATGCAAACTGTGGTAATTCCTACACCGTTCACCTGATTTGGATGTAAATACCCTCAAATTAAAGCTGACAGTCTGCAGTTAAAGCACATCTTGTTTATTTCATTTCAAATCCATTGTGGTGATGTATAGAGCCAAAAATGTTAGAATTGTGTCCATGTCCCAATATTTATGGACCTGACTGTATACCGCCGTTTGTAAACACTATAACTTTCTCATAAACCAATGAATTTACATGTATTGGGATTTTTGTTTTTAGCAAAGACATGTAGCAGAATACATTATGTCCTAAATTTATGACGAAATGTGATTTTTTAAATTTTTTTATTGGACATGTTTAATAGAAAAAGTTGGATGCAGCATTGCATGACCGTGCAATTGTCAGTTAAAGTAACGGAGTGCCACAACGCAAAAAATGGCCTCGTCAGGAAGGGGGGTAAATCCGCTGGAGGGCAAGTGGTTAATTGGTGAAACATACTGAGCTAGTATAAGAATCACTTCAAATGTGAATCATGTGAGATTTGTGAAACCAAATTCCTGCTTTTTAATTTAATCTGTTGAACATACACACTGCATTTAAACGCTACCATGTATCTGGAAAGGATAGCACTATCGCTGTATCTTTTTATTATTACTATTAAAATGATGAAATGGTACTTAAGAGCTTGTTCACAGAATGGGGGGGATTTACTAAAACTGGAGAGTGCAAAATCTGGTGCAGCTCTGCATAGAAACCAGGTTTTTTTTGTCCAAGCTTAACTGAACAAGCTGAAGTTAGAAGCTTATTGGCTACCATGTACAGCTGCACCACATTCTGGGTGCTCCAATTTTAGTAAATCCCCCCTCATGTGTCCTGCTCACACTAGAACAGGTCCTTTGGTTCCAGAGCAATGTGGTGCATAAGAATGCATGCTGTATGCATTTTTCCACAATAGAATGGAGCTGTGCTGAAAGCATAGTTTTCTGTCCATTTATGCACATGCACAGAAATAAAGAAAACACTTGCAATAAAATGCCTGTTTATCTACAGCTTAGATATAACAAACATTTACCCTTGCAGTGAGGGGATCCCACTGGAAGAGTAGATTTTTTTTCTAACTCTGTAGTTGGGCTTCAGTTAATTTTAGGGATGTTGCTTCTGTCACACCTGATGCAATGCATATCATCTGGCAGTGGAAATTCTCTCCGAACATTTGAATACATAATCCACACCCATCTCTCTAATCTTCAGTCATGGTCAGCAGCTAGTTTAGTAGTCAAACACACAGAATAATGGGGTGTATTTACTAATGTAGCTAAATGTTAAATCAGGGATTAAAATTTCAAGTCCTGAGCTACTAGCCAGGCCTTAAGAGTTATTCGCCACCAACAAACACACACAAACAGAGACCCCTGTACACACACACACATGTACATACACACACACAGAAACATGTACACACACGCACAGAGACACATGTACACACACACACATACAGACACATGTATACACACACAGGCACATACAGACACGCATACACACAGATACATGTACATACACAGAAATACACACGCACAGACACATGTACATACATACACAGACACATGCACACACAGACACATGTACGTACATACACAGACACATGCACACACAGACACATGTACGTACATACACACACACAGACACACACAGACACATGTACACACACACAGACACGTACACACACACAGACACATGTACACACACACATACATGTACATACACACAGAGACATGTACTACATGCATACACAGACACACACAAACACACACACATGTACACGTACACACACACACACCACCCCCACCCCCATAAAAAGTTGCAGTACTTCGTTGTTCCCTCACAGAGCCGGGTACCTCACTTGGGGGGGAAGCAGAGAGCACAGCACACACTGCTTGCTTTGCTTTCACTGCGCTAAGTTATTGAGCAGTCTGACGGCTCCCAGTGCCAATGACAGATCCAGTCTGAGCTCCGAGCCTGCTCAGCAAGACGGCCCTGGAGGACACACTCGCCCCCACCATAATTTCCACTCAGCAGGCGAGGAAATTTCAAGCCCTGTGTTAAATTATCCCTGTGATGCAGGGAAACAAAATTAGCAAATAAAACAAAAATAATATAGCGTATACAATTGCGACTTAGTCATATTGTAGTTGAATGTTATTAAAAAGTACCTTTCTTTTTCAATCTGCAGCGCTGCAATTGTGTGTAAAATGCCATGCAAGGCGGTGATCTGTACACAGATAGTGTACAGAACTCCCCCTGAGTATGTAATTTCCTGCTTCAGTGATTGGCTTACTAATTTTCCCAGGTGTCTGTACTAAGTTACAAGTTACTTTTTGACACCCCCTGCAACAAAAAAATGTCATTTTTGGGGAGATACTCCCAAAGTGAAATAACGTCTAAAGGGCTGCAGACCATGCCAATTTCCTCATTAGAGCTCTGCAGGTGCAGCAACTGATAATTATAAAACCACTCCCATACATATTCATTCTACACATGGACACAGACAAACAAGCAACTATTTCTTCAGAATAACAAAAGGTAGGAATCTGCAACAAAGTCTGTTAAAAACCCTGCAATGTACATAGATTATCCAGAGGGGAATGTTTTTTTCTCAACAAAATTGAAGTTACTCTTTAATAATCATGTGCAAGAAAATTTATAAAAATAGGAACTTACTATGTACATAATTAGATGACTGAAGTCAACATTCTAATCCTTCAGTCAGCACAGGCTCACACTGAATCCGACTTTGAAATCATGAGACTTCACTCGCAGGTCAGTGCGATTTCAGGTGCGACTTGCTTGACATTTGTGCGATGTCATGCTGAGATGTCGATACAAGTCATGCCTGAAATTGCAAAAAAATAGTGTAGGAACCTTTTTTCAAATTAGTGCTGCACCGTAAAGTCAGAGTCGCACTGATTTGAACAGTTCCATTGTGTGTGATTTACCATGCGATGTGGAACTGTCCAATCACATGACAAGTCACACTGGTGTGAACAAGGGCTAAGTCACTACACTAAATGAATTATGCTATTTTTTAAAGTAAAAACAATTATGAACAAATAATAATAATAATAATAACAACATTTGTATTGTGCTGCATATTGAAATGATCTGATGTCCTGAGCTGTTAACCTGGCATGAATGGCATAAAAAAGCTTTCTTAGCCCCTAGTGTTTTTGAGGAGCAGCCATCCAATGCAGCCACTCAGCTCAACTGAGTCTTAACACAGAATCCTCCTTGCTGAGAGGTGCAGTGGACACTGCTGAGTGTGCTTTGGCTGTGTTTCTGTGCCAGTTGGACTGGCGAGGTGCAAGAGCACTGACTGCATTCATACATTGGAGCTTCAGACTGCATGTGTGCGAGGAATCCTGACCAGCTTAATGAGGACTGTACAGCTACACCTGGCTCTCCTATCACATTTATTCATCTAAATGTGAATGCATTATTTTTACTGGATTTTATGGTTTTACATTGAAAGGATTCATTGTACTAGGGTCTGCACTAACTTTTTATTTTGTGTATTTTTCAGTTTTTCTATTGCCTGGTGGATTTATGAAAGCTGCAAGACCTTTGGGCAGCTACATTTTGCTGTTTTCTATTTAACTTGGTAGTGGCAAGTTTAGTGTAATAACATAATTAGTGTAATATCATAATTGATAGTATAGTAGTTGTTAGTATAAGCTATTGGAGGACACATGGGGTTCTATTTATAAAAAAATATGCTGCAAGAATATGACAAACATTCACACAGCCACAATGAAAAAATTGTAGTATTTTATCTAATATAATTATTTCCTATGACTGTAAGCACCATCTAGTGGCCATAATGTGATATATTTGTTGAAATAGACCAATCAGGAAAATATCACATTATGGACACTAGATGGCGCTGGTGATCAACGGAAATAACCATATTAGACATAACACAGTGATTTTTTTGTTGTGGCTGTGTGTGTGTTTGTCACATTTTTATAGCAAATTTTATTCTACATCAATGCATTGGTATTATCATTATTGCAATTGTTTTACTAAAATAACCAAGCTTATGTCACTCTGGGGACTATCTACATATGAAAATCAACACAGTAGACTAAACATGCCAAAAAAAAAATATTATTTCAGTGTTGAGGCAGGTAGGCTGCTATACCTCCAGTAGTAATGGAGTACAGAGAAGCTCTTAACTATGAACTGTGGCATAGAAAAATAGGAAATAGATGTAATAGCTTTGAATTAAAAACACCCCCACTCATCTTTTCATAAAATAATAATGATAATGAAAAATAAAGCAGAATGAATAAGGTACTTTGGCCCAGTTTTCTTGATGTCATTAAATTAATGTATTCATGTTTTAGTAACTATTGTGGCTATAATGGTTTTTCACAGTTACATTCTTACCACAATAGATTATATAGAAGGCATGAAATACTTTGCAGATTATGGAGCAGAAACTTGACTGCATAAATCCCCAAGATTCAGTTACTTCAATTAATCACTATTATATTTGGTCAGCCTCCAGCTGCTCCAAGACCTAGGATATTTTGCTCCACAAATCTTGATGGTTTCTGTGTACAAAATGGATGGTCCTTTATCTTGACACACCTATCAAGGGCTGAAGGCATATAGGCTAAAATTGGCATTGCCTTTACATTTTTAGCATGCATGCTTTCTATGCCAAACTGAAATTGGTAAAAGGAATTTCATTTTTATATTTCATTCAAATAAGAGAAAGCACACAAAAAAAAAATCAGCAGTAGTAAATATTGGAGGATAAGCAAATCTAAGTCCAAAGATTGAAAAGAGCAATTTAGGAGAAATGTGGACTGTGGAGATTTTACAATATTCACACATTTGTAGTAATTAAACTTATATTATTACCTTTAACAAACGTTATGCTGATTTGTCATCAATATGCAATATTAATCATAAATATGTAAGCAAAATTTTCCAGTGTCCTTGCAATGTGAGATAATTTATACTTAGCTTACTATAGCTATAAAGGTAATTGCAGCCTTATATTCTATATTACTGGTAATTTACAGAAAAATGAGACTCACCAGATGCTGCCCATTATGTGATTCAATGAAATTACTAGTCAGGTAATCAGCTATGTATAGGAAAATGAACAAATCATTATCTCAATTATTTTGTTACACTAACATTATTGCTACACATGTCAAAAAGGACCTCTTTTTTTGTGTTTTGATGTTTATTGCAGTTGTTCTG